CAGAGTGCAGCCTGTCCACTGCTGCCGGTACCTAAGAGTAAGAGAAGCATTCAGCCTAGACAGGAGCAGATTTCCCTCCACAGAGAGAAGACTGGTGCTGGAAGACAACCTTCTCTGAGTAATTTGCCCAGCTAGAGATCTGTGTCGGATCCGAAGGGCCCTTTTTCAATCCTTTTTTCCCGGGCCGTCCGTAGATCCCTGAAAAACGGTGAGTGACTTCTTGGTTTGGGGAGTTGTACAATAGGACTCTGTAGCCAGGGACTCGGCACTTTGGGCAACACACTCTGCAGAGAAATATTAACATACAGTCTCGAGTGAGAAAACAGACCAATTTACCCAGGTTATGAGAGTAGCTAGAAGCTATTCAATTCAGTAAGAAGCTAGAAGCCTCTCCCTTGACTCTGGCCAGCCTAGTGTGGAGAAGAGGCCTGAATTGCTCAGCTAACAAAGTTTGGCCATTTGCATGGCAATTTGAAGGCCTTGCTTGCTTACTTATCATTCTTTGATCCCTGGTATCCACAGAGTGGAAAGAGAGAACTGAATCCTGCAAATTGTCCTCTGATTTCTACATGCCTGCTTGTCCTGGCTAGTTTTATGTCAACTTAACACAAGCTAACCATCTGAGAGGAGGGAACGTCAATGGAGAAGATGCCTTCATAAGATTGGTCTGTCTCAGCCGACTCCAGCTCATTGGAGCTCATGGATAGCTAGAGAGCCTGCATGGGACCAACCTAGGCCCTCTGCATGTGGGTGACAGTTGTGTAGCTTGGTCTGTTTGTGAGGCCCCTAGCAGCAGGACCAGCGTGAACTGGCTTTTTGGAACCTATTCCCTGTGGTGGGTTGCCTGGCTCAACCTTGATGCAGAGGGAGGAGCTTGGTCCTATCTCAACTTGATATGCCATGCTTTGTTGACTCCCATGGGAGGCCTTACCCTTTCTGAGGAGTGGGGGTAGAAAGGAGGTTGGGGGAGGGAATGGGAGGAGAGGAGAGAGGGGAAACTGTTATTGGTAAGTAAAATTTAAAAAAAAAGAAAAAGTTTGGGCTGTCTCTTAATGAACAGTTTTGAAACTATAAGCAATGAGCCTTCATGTAATGTACTTGTACATGTGGGAATTTTTTTTTTGAGACAGGGTCTTATTATTTTGCTTAGGTGGGTCTAGAACCTGTGGACTCATGTGATCTTCTTTCTTCAGCCTCCCAAGTGATTGAAACTACAGGTGCACATCATAGAAATGAATTTTTATGCTTTTGTTCTTTTTTAAAGATATATTTTATTATTTATGTGTATGTCTGTGTGACTATGCGTGTATATGTGATGAAAGTCTTATTTTGCCTGATTTCCTTCTCCCTGGTCCCATTCATAAAAACGTTACAGAGCTGGGTGCGGTAGCTCTTGCCTGAGAAGGCTGAGTGAGGTGCAAGGATCACCACGAATTTGGGGCCAGCCTGGCTGCACAGTGAGTTCCAAGCCAATCCGGGCTATAGAGTAAGAACCTGTCTCACAGCAGCAACCTCCCCAGTATATTCAGGCCGTCATTTCAAGCCACTCGGTGGTAGACACACGTATGGAAAGAGTTATTAATAGCCGCTTCTGCAGTGAGAACTGAGTAGAGCCACAGGAAAGGTGATGGAAGTCAAGATAAGTCAGATCCCGAAAGGCAACTCCCAGCTACGGGGGAAATGAGAAGACAGAGATAGCGGCTGGACTCTTTATTTAAGGAAATCACAACGTGTTCAAAAAAAGAAAAGGATGAGGTCACAGGAAAGACTGGGAGGGGAAGATATCTGCTCGGGCGTGTGGAAATGACAAACTCTAGTCTGCTAGTAGCTGAGCACAGGATCCCCTGCCCGGGATAGCTCCGAGTTCACTTCCGCTTGGTCCTGGAAAGCACTTTTTGAAAAGGTGCATTCTCCAGTGTCCAGTATGATGCGCTTTGTCTGCATCTATCTAGGGGACCGAATGCCAGGATTCGTCCAGCACTCTCGGCCTTTAGGTCACCTAGGAAGGAAGCGCTCAGGGATGGGGGTGGGGGTGTGGCGGGGTGTGGCTCAGGGCTTGCTGTCAAAGTGCGCTGACCTGAGTTTGGATCCTCACCACCCACGAAACAAGCCAGGCCTGTAGGCCCAGCACTGGGGAGGAAAAGGAAGGAGGATCCCTGGAGCTTACTAACCAGTCAGTCTACCCAAGCCCTGAGCTCCAGATTCAGTGGGAGATCTTATCTCAAAAAATAAGATGGTGATCAAGGGCAACGCCGGACACTGACCTCTGACCTACACACGCACACACACACACTTTAAAAAAGAAGGGACCTGGAGAGGTGGCTCAGTCATTAAAAGCACTAACTGTTCTTTCACAGGACCCAGGTTCGAATCCCAGCACCCTAGCTATAACCTGGCGGCTCACAACTAGCTGTAACTCTGGTTCTTGTGGTACATAGACATACATACAGGTAAAACACCCATACACATAAATCTCAAAAAATATTTTAAATTAAATTTTAAAAGGCAGTAACAGTGGTTGTTAAAGGGGAAGGCTGTTCCTCCTGAGGCCTCTTCTTCCAGCCCCTGCAGCCTTCTACTAGGGCACTAAACTTGGCAGGGCTCTGGTTGCTTTAACACCCCCCCTACCCCACCTCCTACTCCCCCCACCCCACCCCCACCCCCGTGCAGCAGCCCCTTTACAAGCTTTCATGATGGCTTTGTCTAATATGGTCCTCTATTAGTTTGTCCCAGTAATTTTCTCCTAGCTGTAACAAAAATACCTGAAAAGAAGCAACGTTAGGGAGGAGGCATTTATGAGGATTTACAGTCCATTGCGGTAGGGAAGTCGCACTTGCAAGAGCAGGTAGCCGTCAATCACACTTGGTCACAGGCAGGCCGCCCAGAGTAAAGGCTGCTGTGTGAGAGCACCTGCTTTCCCCCCAATCCAATCCAGGCCCCCACCCACTGGATGGTACTGCCCACAGCTGGAGTGGATCTTCCTACTTCAACCTAATCTAAACAATCCCTCCCAGCTGTGCCCAGAGGCACAGTGTTCATTCACAATCAGTGTTAACCATCACAGGCCCCCGTCAGTTCACTTAAGCTTCCAGGGGTGTATGTAAAAATCATTTAAACTGTCTAATTCCCGCTGCCATCCTGCTCCAATCAAGAATTCTGTTCTGCTAGGCATGGTGGTACATACACATGTCACACACACACATACACACGAATGCATGCAGACGCAGAGTCTGCTGAGGGCTGGAGAGAAGGCTTAGTGGTTAAGGAATGTTTACTGCCCCATCAGAGGACCAGAGATAGGATTCCACAAACAATTGTAACTCCACTCCAGCGCCCAGGGGTCCGGCACTCCCTTCTGGTCTCTGTGGACACACACACACACCCTTAAAAAAAAAAAAGCCAAAACCTTGAAAAACAGAAGGAAGAGGAACAAACAATCTACCTGATATGTTTACAATCTCAGATTGAGGCAAGAAGACCTGGAGATTTGAGGCCAAGCTGGACTGTGTAGCAAAACACCGACAAACGACCTTTTCAGACAAAGAATAATAAGGGTCTCACCCTGTAACCGCAGCCTTCCAAGAGCTGGGATTACAGGCATGAACTACCATATCCCGTAAGGATTTGTAATTGAGGAAGGAGAGAGAAATGAAATGGAGAAAGGCTTAACAATGAAGTGGTATCCCCGGAAGGATTCCTCTGTGTAATAGCTCTGGCTGTCCTGGAACTCTCTTAGTAGACCAGGATAGCTCACAATGATCAGCCTGCCTCTGCCTCCGGAGTGCTGGCGTTAAAGGCGTGCCCCACAACCGCCTGGCCAACAATGGAAGTTTTTTGCAGTGAAGAGAACTAGTGAGAACTCTGATTCACATCGAATATCAAACTTGGCCTTCATTCATTCTGCCCGGAAACGGCCGAGGAACAAAAATTCCTGCCACAAAATTGACTGGAGGAAACAGCGCGTGGTGATGCAGGCCTTTAATCCCAGCACTCCGGAGGTAGAGGCAGGGGGATCTCTGTGAGCTCGAGGCCAGCCCGGGTCTACGCAGCAAGTTCTAGGACTACGTAGCTGGAGTTAAGTGGAGAGATCCTGTCTCAAAACAAAACAAAACAAAACCAAAAGCAAGCAAAAAAGAGGAATGAAGTTGTTTTCTTCTGGAATGCCTCGCGCCTTGTTTTCTTACACTGCTCGGTGCTCAAGGAATCGTTATCTGGTAGAGATTTTTGCCTTTCCAGTGTGTACCACCTAGTTAAAAGGAGGTGACTAACCCGGCCAGCGGAAGGACCCAGGAGGACGGTGGGCGTGGCCTAGCCGGGGGGCGGGGCGGCTGGGAGGCGCGCCCCCTTCCCAGCAAGCACCGCGGCTGCCGGCGCGCGGTTCCGG